TAAAGGAAAACACAGTGTTTTAAAGGAAAACACAGGTAGTGGTAATGAGCTGGCTTTTCAGAGCTTTGAGTTGCAAGCTGTGATTTTGGAAAATGCCTGTGTATGAATGTGCGTGCAGTTTTGATGCCCTGAATGTGGCTGGAAGACCTAAATTAAGTTAAAGCTGAGCCTTGTGTGTATGCTCTGCTGCTGATGGAGGAGATCCAGGGCGGCTCTGTGATATTACCAGCAGGTTTTCCATGTTTATAGAGTGGCTTTGTAACTGTGGAGAGATGCGGTGTATCTATTAGGCATTGCCAGTGAACTTTTTCATAGGGAGCCCTGAGAAACCTTTTAAGCCTGACATAAACTTCAATGTTTCTTCTGAGCACTTTTTGTGACTCAGTTTTTCAGTGGTGGTTGGAAAGCCAGAGAGCAAGGGGACAGAGCCTGTGCTCCTTTGGTATATCTGTAGTCCTTCTGGAGAAAGAGAAATGACCACAGAGAAGGCAGATTGAGGGACAGAGCTCACAGTGCCATGCACAGCATGAACAACGGTAGTGTGAACTTCTGCACAGAAAGTTAGAGCGATTCTCTGAACATCTGCTGCATCTCCAGGGCTTCCTTCTTGCAGCCCAAGCTCTCGGCATTGAACCGTACATGCTCTGCCTTATACAGCACTGCTCCTGTGGCTTTCTGCTCCATCCTCTCCAGGGCTTTGGTGGTGGTGTTCTTCTCTGTGTCTTGAGAAGGGCATGTTCAGCAGGTGGGAGTCGAGCCATGTGGAGGGAGCCCTATGTGACAGCCAGACCCAGCTGGAACTGGTGATAATGGCGTGATGGGTTTTAGTGTGGATGGTATTGCACAATAAAGGTTAAAATGGCATTTGGCTGACATTTGTAATTAGCACTTTAACTTGTTAGAGGGCCTATCGGCGAAGCAGTTCGAAATGATGCAGCTCTTCAAAGTTAGCTAATATTTGTCAGCCTGTTTTTTTGCATTCCTTCCTTGGCTCTGTGCTCCTGCAAATGGGAGGTCGGGAGTGGATGGGAGACAGGAGAAGCACCAACAAGGAGGATCCTGGGGATGAGCGGTGTGGGAGCAGCCCGTGGGGTGCCCTGCTCAGTGCTGGGCACAGCTCTGCCGCTGTTGGTTGAGCTGCTCGTGGTTGTTGCACGTGCCATCCTTAATCAGAATATCCTGAAGCCGTCAGCCAAACCCATGCCGTGTTCAACAGGTGTTTTAATGCTGCAGCGTAAATTATATCATACTAAATTTCAGGGAGGTAGGGAGGAGAGACTCAGGAGCAGTTAATCTAATTCCAGCCTAAGTCAGTATTGGGTATCTTCCTTGCTTTGACTGCCAGTGAGTGTGACACCCAATATTCATTGGGGACAGCTGCGCTGTGCGGCTCTGCTGTGTGCTGGCTGCAAAGAGAGCCATAAAATGTGTGTACATGGCAGGAGCATTTGGCTGTGCTGTGCAGGCACGGCCTCTATAAATTGTGTGCAGATATGTACACACAAAGAGAAGCAGTTTGCTGTTATGGGTGTTTTTTGTCATCATGCGTAAAATGGTAAATTATAAAGGTGACAATTGGAAACCCTAATGATACAGTGCTATATAATCTGTGTTCCACTAGAAATAATACTCTCTATAGGGAGATAACGGTGCTGCTTTGGACTTTTCTGGTGCCCATTCATACCAAATTACCTTTTATTTTTACATGTTAAGTACCAATAAGGTTTTGTACAGTGCATGATGCGCTCCTGCCAGAGTGTTTGCTGTCCTGGGGATCGGGGTGAGGCTCCTCTTGTGGTTTCTCTTCCTCCCTGCTGTCCTCCTGTCCCCATCTCCCCTCCCCAGCGCAGCCCTCCGAAAATGCCAGAGGATGGATTTATGCTGCATCAAGTTAGGAGCATGGAACAAACATTCGAAACGCGTGTGAGGCAAATGCAGCCACCATTGGCAGTTTAGTTTGTTTCTTTTTTTTTTTTTTTTCCCTGAAGAGAAAAAAAAAAAAATTGGCTCCCTCTCCTGCTGTGCTGGAGATAACAATGGCACATTGTGCCGCGCTGCAGCTGCTGAAATTTGACTAGATCCAACTGAAGAAAACAGGAGCAGGTGGGTCAACAACGTGACCCCTTCGTTCCCAGCAGTATCAGTGTGCGCCAGGGCCAGAGGGACGGGGCCAAGGTGAGCCCTGATTTCAGCCCCGCATCAGTGGGGCATTGGTTTGGGCTTTGGGTGTGAGCTGCCTTGTTGCCTTTCAGAGATGACTTCAGTGCCTGTAAGTGCTGTGGGCTTTGCTGCTGCTTGTAAAATGGGTTTTACTCTGCTCAGCATGGTTCATTGGTGTCTCTTCAGTACTGGTGCCTAGATCCCGTGCTGTGCCAGTGTCTGGTTTATGCTGCTCCATTTAAGTGCCCAGTGTGTGCCTTCTGCTCCCCAAAGCATGGCATTATTTGGATTTCATAATAATGATGATTTTTTTCTTCATCTAGGTCTTCACAGGTTACAGAAATGAATTCTTTATAGAATGAGGGATGACGGTCTCGAGTTAAGAGAGAGTGGATGTTAGGAAAAAAGAATCCCTGCCCAGGGAGGCGGGGAGGTCACTGTTCCTGGAGGTCCTCAAGTGGAGAGGTGGCACTGAGAGACATGGTCAGTGGGCATGGTGGGATGGGGTGGCGTTGGACTTCTCCTGCGGACATCTCTGTTAAGACTTGGAGATTCCTTGTAGGCTCTGCTGTGACTGGGGTTCAAGAAATGGAGTTCAAAGGTGGCAATGTGCAAACTGCAACAGCACTCAGCAGCAGCTGTGCATGCAGTGATGGTGAGCAGCATGCTTGGTTGCCCTTGGAGGTCTTCATGGCTTAACTGTAAGTTTTGGTAGAAAACAAAGTGCTCATAGCTGCTGGGATAATCCTACCATCACAGGGACGTGTATTGCTTGCGGAATGGCATCAAACACTGTTTTACTTGCACGTGATTATGGCTGTAAGAATAACAAGCTGCAGCCATTCCTGAGTCCCTGCTAAAAACGGCTCACATTTGTTGAATGTTTTCCTCTGTCTGAGCTGAAGGCTTAGAGAGCAGTTGGTGATTCTAAGCTAAAACACAGCAGAAGTAGGAGAGGGACTTCGGGGGAGAGTGGAAGAAATGTTGGTGTGCAGGGGGATGCAGCCAGGATTGAGGATGCATACTGGGGAGAGATGAGGGCCAGCTTGGTCTCAGTGTGCGAAGTGAAGCAGGAAGGGAAAATGTAATATTGAGGGGCAGTGACAGAAGAGGGGAAGCTGTGAAAGGGATGAGGAGTAGCAGTGGATGGGCGGCTGCAAGGCTGGAGCAGTGTGGGCAAGGGTCTGCAGGCTGGGAGGGGAGGGATGGAGGCTGTGGAGGAGCCAGGGCAGGCGTGTGGCTGCTCCGTGTGTGCTGGCATGGGAAATCAATCCCTGTGACCACACTGCCAGCAGTGGATCTGAGTGCATCAGGAAGAGGATTGTTAATAAATCAGAGACTCTTGGTGCCTATCTGCGTCCTAGTCTTGTTTTTTAGCAGGAGCTTGGTGGAATCTGATACGGCAGTCAACAGCAGAGTAAAGCATAGCACAATGCTAAAGCTCCATCTGCAGAAGCAAATCTGCCCGTTGCTGTTGACGGGCACAGAGAAACTGAAGATGAATGGGATTTAGCTGCAAGTGGAGGAGGTTTAGATGGAGGTGTCTGCAGCAGTGATGCTGTGACCGTGCTTTGCCTTTGGCAAAGCAGCAAAACCCTGCTTGGTGCCAGCTCAGCTGTGCCCACTGCCAGCCTGCATTGCCAGCAGAGGGTCTGCAGCCCCCACCAGCAACTGGAGCCTGGCTCACTGCGGGACCACAGTGCTCACCTCCCTGCTGGCATCACAGCACAGCACTGTGCCATGTGGCAGTGCCAGGCCCCCAGCTCGTTGCTTTGGGGCACAAAGCACAGGTGTAGGCTGAACTTCATGGTGCCTGGAGGCTGCTGCCTAGCAGGATGGCTGTGGCTTTGCTTTGCATGCATGAATCCTGAATTTAGGGTGTGACCCACACTGTGTGCTGCTCTGTCCTTTGGTGCGCTTCTCCATGCCTGCAAACACCTTCCTGGGAGTTGTGATGAAAAATTAAACGGAAAAAACTGCATTTGTGTGCAGGTCAGAGGCTGCTGGAGATGCCATCCTCGGTGTCCTGCACACACAGTGGTGTCTGCTAGGAGTACAGCATTAACATATGAAAGCACAGCCAACAGTGGGTTCTTGTATGGGCAGAAGTGCAAAGCTGCGGTGCCAGTTCGATCCACAACTGCTGTCTGCAGCCGGGCTGGGTAACAATTAACCTTTCACGTCATGTGTCAGCCATTGCTTTCCTGGTGCAGCTGCTTTTAACAATGCACGTCGCTTCTCCTCCCAGCAGTGCTGGCTTTGGCACTTGGAGGGTCTGTTTGGGGAAGCGCAGGATGGATGGAGGAAGAACGGTGTTTCCTTAAATCAAAATGTAATTAAAAATTAACTTTGTGTATATTAAATGAGATTCCACTACTGCTGCTTCTGATATTTTAAAGTGAGCTCAGCGTAGTTTTTGCTTGCATGATAAAAGCATGTCATTTTCCTGGGTCACTTTTCACATTGCATATCTTTGCTTCATAACAACCCATGCATTTGCTTTGTGCTGAGTGAAGTAACCATGTAAACAGCACAAGTGTTGGCATATGCAGCAGAACCCAAAGCAGCACACGAAGATAACAGTGTTGGGTACTAGAGATAGAGCTGCAGGGAAATGCATTTACAGGGGCGTATTTTTCTGAAGCTCACGTTCTTGTGTAAAGCACCTTGATTTCATGTAGGTAGGTCAGTGTGTGATGTGCACACGAGGGCAGAGCTGGGAGCCACCTTCCCTTGGGTTGTGTTTCAGAAGGGTTTTTTGCACTTGTGAATTAAAAATTGGTGGCAGGATAACTTACAAGATTTCTACAGCAAATATTCTCCTTTTCATTTCTCTGCAGGATGGGAATCACAGCTCCTGGAGACTGGTTTCCTGGGGATGTTCCTCTGCCCACTCTGGACCCTGTCCCGGCTGCCCCGTTCCACACCTCCATCCAGCATCGTCATCTGGGGCTTCCGCTGGCTGATCTTCAGGATCATGCTGGGAGCAGTGAGTGGAGCTCTATGGTTGGGCTTTTGGGTTTTGTCTTTGGGTTGTTTTATTGTTGTTGGTTTTGTTTGTTTGTTTGTTTTTGCTGAGGTGGCAGCAATGGGAACGTCTGATCCCATGAGGAAGCTGTACCTGGGGCAGAGCACTGCAGTCCTCCAGTTCAAGACTTTTCTTGTTAGAAGGAAGGGGCTTGGAGTAGGAAATGCTTCTTGCTCTGTTTCGCAGAGTCATTATTGTTAGTGCTTATTTAAAGAAAGACAAACATGTGCTTACTCCTGTGCATCGATATGTTGGTGCTGCTCTTGGGATTGGCTCTTTCAAAGGAAGTGAAGCTGAAGGCCATTGTGGCTCTTTGATAAGATGCTTGGGAATGCAGCGGGTAATTCCCAGGAGCTTTATGCTGAGTTATTTTTTTTTTCTTTGTGTGTGCTTTACTGAAATGTCATTCTTTGCTCCGTGATTTCAAAGAGAACAATTGCTGCGTTACTGTCCAAGTGCCAGTGGAAATTCCCAAGTCACTTGTAAAAGAATCCATCAGGAACTGACACATCCTTGTTAAACTGGAGGTGTGGCAGAGCATTACCCCATGATCTGGAGCTGAGCAGTGGGTGCTTCAAAACATCCCCAGATTTTCATTTAGGATCATTGTAGAAGTGTTTCAGGCAGTGGAACATCCCTGGGTCTCTTTTCTCTAAAGCCCTTCTCTCAGCCCAGCTCTTGAAGTGCTTGAATCTGTAGTCAAATTCAATAAGCTCTTAATTATCCCTCTCTTCTTAATAATAAGAACAAAGGATGTTTGAAGGGAACAGTGATAACCAAGGGAAGCACAGTGTATGGTCTGCAGGCGGCATATGCATCCATATTTCTTAACTGAAATTTCTGGTCCTCTCTTTTGTGCAGAAAATGATGGGCACTTTTGGTAGCTGTGTGCTGTGGTGTCTTCATTGTGTTTTTGAGGGCACAAAAGTTGTTGTAGTTGTTACTGCAGACCCAAAGTGCACCAACAGGATGGCTGCCCTTAGTGATGCTCCTGGGGACTCATGTTGTGGGGGAGATGGGGTAGGGAGGGGGGAATGGGCAGGGAATTGGGGGAGAGGGGCCCACCCTGAAGGACCCTCTGCAGTGGTTTGAGTGGGGCTGAGGGGTCCCCATCCTGCAAAGTAAGATCCCTTAAGGTGACCTGATACTCCTGAAATGGTGAAATCCTGAGTGTAAGTTACTCAAATGCAGGTTGTTTTTTCCTCACTGTGGGTGTAATATTTGGTCTGTTTATCAGCAGTGGTGAAAATAATAGGGTTGCAGAAGTTTCCATCTCAGGCAGAGGATGTCTGGTTCCTGTGGCCTCAGTGCTCCTCAACTGTGGCACTGATTATAGAAAGAACTGATGCTCTGAACATAAGGAATTGCAGCTGAATTACGTTGTGTTACTACCAAGTTTGTATCCTACTTTCCTTACAAAATGAGACTGTACTTTGCTCTTTCTAATTGTAATATATATTCTGAACTATGGGACAGGCTTGTTGTAGTGGAAAATCGTGCTCATGAAGTCTGTGTTTCCGTTATCTCTGTGCTGCTCCCCAGTAATAAATCTGCAGTTATTTTGGAGAGGGCACTCTGCAGTCAGTGCTGCCCCTCAAGTCCTTTGTGTGTGCTGGTTGCTGGTATGGCACTAACAGGCATGGGAGAGGAAAACATGGAAAGGTCATTAAAGGGGGATCTATACAAGCAAGTGGAAATCAGTGATTGATGGTATCTTTAATGTTTCGGGGCCCAAACACGTGTACGTTTCCTTCTCAGATGGTGTAATGATGCTTGCAGGCACTGGGACGAGAGTTTAATGCGTGAAACCCAAGCATCCTCCTGCAGTGCAGGTGCACCTGCTCCAAGGCAATCTTTGATTTCTTCACTAATCTGAGCAGGGGTTGAAACATGTGCACAAATGCAGCCTGAAGGAGGGTTCCCAGGGGTGAGATTGGTGGGGATTGTGTCTCACACAGGAAGTTTGGCTTTTCCTGCACCGGTGCCCTGGGGGCTGCTGAGCAGGCTGGGCATGGATTTCCCTGCAAAATGCCATCTTCCAGCTTGCAGCCCTCCTTTGGGCTGGCTTTGTTCCTCCCTCCCTGTGCTGGTGGGTGGGTGAGCAATGCTGTGTGCAGCATCTGAAACGTGCTGGCCTGTCTGGCTTTGGCAGTGTGATGGACCCCAGGAAAGGACTTCAGTTTCCCATCCCATCGCTCTCTTTTTCTGAAGTCAGCTCCTGTATCAGGAACAGGAGAGGAGTGTGCATTTCACATTTCAGCCCCCTCCCGCCCCCTTTTTTCTTTCCCCATTCAATGCATCATGTTTAGGAACTCTTTCCATTCAGAATTCTAGCAACCAGCACATTAAAACACTTGGGATTTCTACCAGAGTAAATGCCAATATGCCTACACTTATTTCAGCCCATCCAAAGGAACAGACCAAGCCCAATAGCTGCTGGATGCCAAATCCAACTGTAAGGACACAGGCTGGATCTGAAAGACTTTCACCCAACCCAAATTGGCATGACTGTTGTCATCGTTGCCCCCAGGGAACATCCATCATCCCCTTGAAACCTTCCCATATCCTACCACCCCGCACCCTTGTTTACAACCTGCTAGTTGAGAACCACTGCAGCAGAAATCTGCTTTTATACTTCTGACCACAGAAACCCACAGAGCTGGTGGGAGCCTTGTGGAGCTGTTCTGTTGCCTTAAAGCAACCCAGGGCGGAAGCAGCCCTGAGTTTTCTGGAGAAGCCTTCAGGGCAGGTCTTGCTGCACCATGCCTGACTTCCAGCTGGGCTTCATTAAGAGAGATGAGAGGTAAAATCATCCCTTCTGCCTTTCTGTGCAAGGAGTGGGTTCAGGCTCTGCTGCTGGAGTTTGATTGGCAGCAAGTGCTGGGCTGATCTCAAATATTGCTGGCTTTTTAAAAGGCATAATTATGTGATTCAATCTATATGTTTGATTTTTCCTAATAATCCATTAGTGCAGGATGTAAAGACGGATGCTTCTTAGGAACGTGTAGAGGCAAAAGAATAGCAGTCCCTTTGTGCGAGCGAGCAGCGTGGTAGGAAATAAGTGGTGCAAACAGATTCGTGCTGCTAATTTGTCTCAGAAGTGCTGTGTGACTCGAAATCCTCGTCTTGGTGTGGCTGTGCTCTGATGGCTCGAGGCAAGCAAGCAGAGCAGGGCAGTGTTGCCCCTGTCCTCACCTCCCAGCATTTCAAGGCCAAGGCACTATGTGAGGCTGTGGGCTTTTTGATGAGCAAGTTTTGTTTTTGTTTTTTCTCTCACAGGCGGCAGAGTTGCTGGTGCACCTGCACAGCCCTGAGTTGATGCATGCCCACCAGCACAGCACGCTGCTGGGATGTCGTGCAGCTCCTCGAGCCAGAAAAGCCATCAGGGATTTAATCTGTAAGCTGTAAAATTGTTTCTTCGTTAGTTGGAGTGTCAGGGAAAGGCTGCATGTGTGCACGCTTACTCAGATATGTGAGAACTCAATTTTCAGCAGCACCTGTGTGTGTAGCTATAGTAACACTGATACATGCTGGTAACTGCAGAAACGTGTGTGGAGGGATGGAGGTGATGGACCGTGGGCCATACAGATCTGTAGTGGAGGCTGATGCCTTCAGTGCAACTTGCGGCTTCGGTGATGTTTACCTTGGTTATTCCCAAGAGTTGTCTCTGTTCATTACACGTCACTTGTCAAGCCTCACAGCAGAGGTTTGCTGCTGTTAGAGGCAGTGTGCCTGAATTTAGGTGGATTTTCATAATCTCCAACTAAAGCAGCTCCTGCACCTCTTCCCTCCCAGCCTTTTTCTTTGGTGGATGCTGACATGGAGCGTGCAGTTCCCTGTGTTACATACAGCCAAGCTTGTGACTGCTGTGCTGTAGCACCAATCCCATCCAGATGTGTGCTCTGAACAAGTGTCAGTGTGGATATGGCAGAACAGTGTCCAGTGCCCCAAGGTCCTCACTACTTCTTCCTGCTGTTTCATGGCAACACCAACCCCGACAGATTGCACTGGACTTGGGTCTGCTGTCAGATCCCAGTCCTTGGGCAGCTACAGAGCAGAGCTGGTGTGATCTTGGGGCTGTTCTCCCATTGCTGCAGTCAGGAGATGCGGGCACTCCGTGAGCAGTGACCCTTCATAGACACAAAGCAAGGTGAGCCCATGCACATGCAGCAGCTTCATTGCACTGTTAATGGCTTTTTCACAGGGCTTTCTAATATACATTTTACTTTCCATCAGCATCAGCCTGCAGTGCTCAATGTCAGAGAGCACACGGTGCTGCTGAGATGCTCATGTTAGGACTAATTGGGTGCTGTTTGCAGAGCTTGGTGATGTTCTGTGCAAATGATTATCAGCACTGGAAATGTGGTGAGGTGTAACAGCATGTTGGGAAGCTGGGAGTAAATGGGGAATTAAGGTGGAGCTGTGTCTTGCAAAGGATCACAGACATATGGAATAAGTTACTGGGGAAGGTGGCTGGAGCAGAGCATAAGTGAGTCTGAGACATCTTGATTAGTTTCTGGAGGAAGGGATTGAAGAGTGTAGTGGAAAAGCAGGGAAACAGGATTTAAAGCACATTACCACTTTAATTTAAAAGTGCCCAAAGCAAGGAAATTCAGATTTAAAGCTGCCAATCCATCACTGGTGCACGCAGGTGTTGGAGCTGGGGTCTGTGTGCAGATGGGTCGGGGCCATGCAGGCTCAGCCCCCCAGAGTGGGGCAGAACCTTTGGGGCAGTTTTAGGAGTAGTCTCAGCTTTGCCCCAGGACTTAAATGTACAGTGAGTGCACACCCAGCAAAGTCCCATCCTTTTGTCACAGAAGCTGCCGTGTCCCATGTCCTTGATGCCCTCCTCAGGATCCCTTGCACCATTCTGGGAATGCTCCTGGCCGAAAGCACCGCACTTCACCATCTCCAGGAGCATCCCAGTGCCCAGGGATGGGGTGACACAGGGAAGGGTTTCT